TCCATAATCCACTCAAGAATGCATTATTTCCCCGTGTCCCGCCTCCCTCTCTCCTGATTCGTCGGGGCGCCGAGGCAGCAGAAGCCCAGTGATTGGCCCAGGTGCTCAGGAGGCAGTCAAGTCTCCTCCCAGCTGTAGAGGTGCCAGCCAATCACCATCAAGCTGGCAGAGGGGTGGGGAGTGGGAAATTCAAATCTGACAACTCTGTTTCTGTATAAAAAAAGGCTTTTATTTGTGTACATGTTATGATTAGCTTGGCGAAATATTGCTGCTATGCATCCTTTCTAGCTGGATCGCAATAAAATAATCTCGGTGGTGCTTCCTTCAACTTTGGTGAGATTCTTTTGGGAACTTAGGGAAATCATTTAAATTGCAGCTTCTCTTGCTCACCATTGTAGCGAGCCCTCTTTGGTGGGTCCGCAGGGTCTCTCCTTCAGGGCCAGACCCTTTTCAATTCCTCCTCGACTTCAGAGAAATACTGCCATAGACTAACTTGGCAAAGGGAGGGGATTTATATTAGAGACTGGTAGAAATATTCACAGCCACTCCTAAAGGCCACTGCTTAAACCAAGTAAAAATGTGCAGGATATAATGATAGGCTCTAACCTAAAATATCTAAAATATGTTAAAATATCTAAGCAGGTTTCAAGTCAATATTGGGGGTGTCAAGTTAATAACAAATTTTCTTTTAAAAAGGTTTTTCGGGAGGGGGGTTGTTTTGTGTCTGGGTGCCCTGCCAGACCTTCTGGCAGGGCATTTCTTCCAGAAAAGCGCTGGGCTTCTGGGGAATGTGTAGACGACAATGTGGGCCCAATCTGGTTTTTTCAACCCGACTGTGCTCGCATTAAAGTCCTGTCTGGAACTGCCCTGAGTGTGCTGAAGATGACAAACAATATCAATGAAGAAGAAAATGCCACCAGGGGCCCTTCCACACATCCCTATATTAAAGCAGAAGATCCCATAATATCTGCTTTAATAATAATAATAATAATAATAATAATAATAATAATAATAAAGCTTTATTTATACCCCGCTCCATCTCCCCCAGGGGGACTTGGTGCAGCTTACATGAAGCCACGTCCATCAATACAATACAAGCAATATAACACAAAACACAATAAAACAAGCAAAATACATAAAATGCAAGATCAAAATAATATACAACACAATATAAAATTAAGCATTAAAAACACAGGAAATTTCACAAGGCAGGGCCAGATGCAAGGATAATTTTTTTTTTAAAAAAAATTTAAAACACTGGAAGATAGGACAGTGTAATTTATAAGGAGGAGGCTCCGGGAATGAGGAAAGATTTCATTGCACAAACCATAAAATAAAGTGCGTCTAAGGACATTTTGTGCAACGTGTGGTCAGGGAGAATCTTACATTCAATTACTGAAGGCACATTGGAATAACCAGGTTTTCACATTCCTCCTGAAGATTGCCAGTGTGGGGGCTTGTCTAATATCTCTGGGGAGTGAGTTTCAGAACTGGATTTTCTGAGTCCACACTGCCATATATTCCAGTTCAAAGCAGATAATACAGGATTTTATTCAGCTGTGTGGAAGGGACCTAAGGGCTCTTCCACACAGCCCTATATCCCAGAATATCAAGGCAGAAAATCCCACAATATCTGAGTGTGGACTCAGATAACCCAGTTCAAAGCAGGTATTGTGTGTTTTTCTGCCATGACATTCTGGTATACAGGGTTGTGTGGAAGGGTCCTGGATTATATGGCGGTGTAGGCCCATATAATCAATTTCAAAGCAGATATTGAAATTGATGGGAACTTTTGGAGGGTCCACCCCAGGAGGAGAGACCCTGAGGCCTCACCAAAGAAGGATCGCTACTTTGGCGAGCAAAGAGAAGCCTGATTTTCAGCAATTTTATTTTCCTAAAAATCCAGAAGAAATCTCACCAAAGTTGAAGAAGCGGCACCGAGGTGTTTTATTAGCGATTCAGCTGAAAAGCATGCAATGCAGCAATCATTCGCCAAGCAGAGCATGTGGTTACAGGAATCAGAGGCATTTTTATAGGAAATACAGGCTTGGAAGCCCTCCTCCCGGCTCGACTGTGATTGGATGACGCGATAATAGCTGGGATGAGGCGTGGCCACCCTCCCCGCGCCAGAACCAATCACAGAGCTCCTCCGCTGCGCAGGAGCCTATCAGGAAGCTTCTAGCGCCTTGGCGCTCTGGCGAATCAAGAGGAAGGGAGGTGGTACGAAAAGAAACAACGTTTTCTTTGAGTGGATTATAGAATTTAAATGTCCTGGGGTTCCTTGAGTCCGGGGATCGGCCTTCTAAAGAAATTAGTTCTATTGTCCTTTGATGGGTCAGCGATAAGTAATTATTACTTAATCTGAGTTTTCCTGTCGCAATCAGATATGACACAATGAAGAGGCTGGGGTGGATGTGGAGAGCTTTGAATGAAAAAACGGTGTCGGGAGGAAGAGACTTTCCGAGGGTCGTCTTGCCCCCCATTGTTATGTGATTAAAAGTTTGCCAAGCGAAACCCCAATCTGACGGCCCGACTCCGAAATAAAAAAGGGATTTTCAGTTCTAAAAAGGGACAAGTCCTTTAGAGTCAAAAATGCTTTGCAGAAAGTCCAATAGCCAAAAAGGGAGTCTGGTGATTTCCACTGAGCCACAGGATGGAGTCCTGCAGCACCAAGATCAAGCCGGTCCTTGGTCCTTGGGAAACTATAACTCCTTCCAAGGACTGGGACCCCAAGGCCAGACTGTTCCCCGAAAGCCTCGTGGGGTAGCCGCACCGAGTCTCCAGGGCAAAGGGCTTGGCAGAGGTGAAAAAGCGGCGAGGGCAGCAGCAGCGCGGCAGCAGCGAAGCTTGGCCTTTGACAATCAGCTGTTTCCTTGAAATTATATTCCTAAAACGTAAAAGGTTATTCCCCGAGCGTAGAAGCCCAAAATACAAAAAGCGAGATAGCAAATAGTGTTAGAATTAAGCCAGGAAAAATCTGCCATCAAAATGGAGGCGATCCGCCATCTCGCGGATACAGGGGCCCAAGGGGTTTCCGTATCTGCGGTTTGGGGGAGCGCAGATTTGGCCTCCCCGAGACGCCAGGAAGGCACCCCGGGCAGGCCTGCAGTCTCCCGCAGCCTGGAAAAGTTAGTTTCATGTATTTGGATAGTTTCAGGCAAGAAAGAGACACAAAGTATCAAGTGGGAGAGTTTAAAAGTTGAAATTTTATTAATCTTTATTTGGGGATTGGTTACATAGTTGGGGCTGGTAAAGGAGTGAAAGGAGAGAGCACACGGCTGCAAAGAGTCCCTGGTTGAGGCTGCTGCTGGGGCACATTTCATCAGTTTGGCCCAATTTGGCAATCAGGAACTGTGGAACTCCCTGCTGCTGGTCAAACCAGCTTGAAGGCAGGGGCCTGGGATGCCCTTGACGACAATAATATGGATTATCTGTTTTGATAATCTGGATTCTGTGGCAGTGTAGAAGGTGCCTAAGGACCCTTCCATACAGCCCTATATCCCAGAATATCAAGGCAGAAAATCCCCAAATATCTGCTGCAAAGTGAGTTATCTGAGTCCACGTTGCCTTATATCCCAGTTCAAAGCAGAAAATGTGGTATTTTATTCAGCTGTGTGGAAGGGGCCTATTTATTTGTTTATTTGTCGTGTCAGAACAACCAGTCTAACAGAACAAAGCAAACAAACAGAAAAATACACAGCTTGTGAGTTTGGTAGCTGGTTAAATGTCCTTTGACCAGTATCTGGCCACTTGGAGTGCCTCTGGTGTTGCTGCAAGAAGGTCCTCCATTGTGCATGTGGCAGGGCTCAGGTTGCATTGCAGCAGGTGGTCTGTGGTTTGTTCTTCTCCACACTCGCATGTCGAGGATTCCACTTTGTAGCCCCATTTCTGAAGATTGGCTCTGCATCTCGTGGTGCCAGAGCGCAGTCTGTTCAGCGCCTTCCAAGTCGCCCAGTCTTCTGTGTGCCCAGGGGGAGTCTCTCATCTGGTATCACCCATGGATTGAGGTGCTGGGTTTGGGCCTGCCACTTTTGGACTCTCGCTTGCTGAGGTGTTCCAGCGAGTGTCTCTGTAGATCTTGATTTAAGTCGTTGACGTGCTGGCTGATACCCAAACAGGGTGAGCTGGAGATGTCTCTGCCTTGGTCCTTTCACTATTGGCTGCTACTTCCCAGGCGGATGTCAGGTGGTGCAATACCGGCTAAGCAGTGTAATTTCTCCAGTGGTGTAGGGCGCAGACACCCCGTGATAATGCGGCATGTCTCATTAAGAGCCACATCCACTGTTTCAGCGTGGTGAGATGTGTTCCACACTGGGCATGCGTACTCAGCAGCAGAGTAGCATAGCGCAAGGGCAGATGTCTTCACTGTGTCTGGTTGTGATCCCCAGGTTGTGCCAGTCAGCTTTCGTATGATATTGTTTCTAGCGCCCACTTTTTGCTTGATGTTCAGGCAGTGCTTTTGTAGGTCAGAGCACGGTCCAGAGTGACTCCCAGGTATTTGGGTGCGCTGCAATGCTCCAGTGGGATTCCTTCCCAGGTGATCCTCAGAGCTCGGGATGCTTGTCTGTTCTTAAGGTGAAAGACGCATGTCTGTGTTTTAGATGGATTAGGGATCAGTTGGTTTTCCTTGTAATAGGCAGTAAGAGCACCTAGAGCTTCGGAGAGCTTCTGTTCAACCATCTCAAAGCTCCCTGCTTGAGCGGTGATGGCACGATCATCAGCATAGATGAAACTCTCTGTCCCTTCTGGCAGTGGCTGGTCATTTGTGTAGATGTTGAACATAGATGTTGAACATGGCAAACCTGCACACAGCCTTACATCTTAGAAGGGCCCAGAGGGTGAAACTGAGGCGGGATAGAGAAGACGTCGCTTAGGAACGCCTGGCGTTAAATGATTGACAGCTAATAGCCCTGCCTCGCGCCCAGTACCTGGGGAGAAGGGGCGGGGCGAGCGGCCGGGCCCCTCCCCCTCCCTCCCTCCCTCCCTCCTCGCTCTCTTTCTCTCCGCTGGAATAATCATGTAGCTCGCGCCTTATTCTCCCAGCGTGCTTTGCGGTGTCGGCGGCGCCTGTCTGCTGCTCGCCATATTGTGTCTCTGACGGGGAAGGACGGAAAGAAGGAGGAGGAGGAAGAAAGAAGGAAGGAAGGAAGGGGCAGAGACCGCGGCTCTCGACTCGCCTCAGCCCTGGCTGCGGGAAGAGGAGGCGGAGGCGGCGGAGGAGGAGGAGGAGGGGGCGCCGAAGGTGGCAACAACGTCGTCCAAGAGAGCCGAGCCTCGGGGAGGGAGCGGGCCAGCCACCGAGAGGGAACCAACAACGGGACCGGTGAGAAGGAGGAGGGAGAAGAAAGGGAGCTCTTAAAGGGGCGGGGGTCTCTCAGGGCAGCCCTGGCCCTCCATTTTGGGACTGGCCCTTTTGTCCCGTTGCCACAGAACCTCAGGGGCCTTCTGTCTCGGCCTACCGGGCCTTCTTCGCCCCCCCCCCCCACTTCAGAGCATATAAACCTGCCTCATCTACATCAAGCTGCCGAGGGGGCGGGGTCCTTCCTCCCATCTCCTGTCTCTTTCAGGGCAAATGCAGGCTCTTGGTCCCTTTGCCCGGGGTGTCAGCTTCATTCTCTGCCTCAGAGGGCCCTTCCACACAGCCATATAACCCAGAATATCAAGGCAGAAAGTCCCACAATATCTGCTTTGATTATCTGAGTCCACACTGCCATATATCCCAGTTCAACGCAGAAAATGGGGGATTTGATTCAGCTGTGTGGAAGGAGCCTGAGACTCAAAAAAGTTACTGCCCTGTAGATTAGTATACAACAGTGTTTCTCAACCTGGGGGACGGGACCCCTGGAGGCAGGGCCATAGCCAGAAAAAAATGTCGGGAAGGGTTGACAATTTCGGGGGGGGGGGGGGGGTGAAACCTGCCTCCTAGCTCACGCTGAAGCAAAGAGCACAGCAAGGGGCAGAGCAGCCTTCAATAGCCTGCAGCTCCACCCATGTGAACCACCTAGAATCATAGAATCAAAGAGTTGGAAGAGACCTCATGGGCCATCCAGTCCAACCCCCTGCCAAGAAGCAGGAATATTGCATTCAAATCACCCCTGACAGATGGCCATCCAGCCTCTGTTTAAAAGCTTCCAAAGAAGGAGCCTCCACCACACTCCGGGGCAGAGAGTTCCACTGCTGAACGGCTCTCACAGTCAGGAAGTTCTTCCTCATGTTCAGATGGAATCTCCTCTCTTGTAGTTTGAAGCCATTGTTCCGTGTCCTAGTCTCCAGGGAAGCAGAAAACAAGCTTGCTCCCTCCTCCCTGTGGCTTCCTCTCACATATTTATACATGGCTATCATATCCCCTCTCTGCCTTCTCTTCTTCAGGCTAAACATGCCCAGCTCCTTAAGCCGCTCCTCATAGGGCTTGTTCTCCAGACCTTTTATCATTTTAGTCGCTCTCCTCTGGACACATTCCAGCTTGTCAATATCTCTCTTGAATTGTGGTGCCCAGAATTGGACACAATATTCCAGATGTGGTCTAACCAAAACAGAATAGAGGAGTAGCATTACTTCCCTAGATCTAGACACTATGCTCCTATTGATGCAGGCCAAAATCCCATTGGCTTTTTTTGCCGCCACATCACATTGTGGCTCATGTTTAACTTGTTGTCCACGAGGACTCCAAGATCTTTTTCACACGTACTCCACCAAGTCTGGCCTCCTTAATGAGAGCATTCAACACCCCCCCCCCCAACTTGGTTGCTTCACTACATCGGCTATTGCTGCAAGTAATGACAGTGTGAATAAATTGTCAATATTTGCTTGAGATAGTGCTTGCAGTTCTGGAGGGACTCTTAATTTTTTGCATCTCATAGACTTAGCATGGGGATTTGGTTAACTAGTTAAAATTAATGAGTAAACCAGGTTTTTTTAAAAAAAATCTGAAACATTTGGGGGGGGGGGTTGAACCCCTAAAACTCAAATTGGGGTTTGGGAACCCTGGGGGTCACGAGGGGGTGTCAGAGGGGGCACCAAAGACCATCAGAAAACACAGTATTTTCTGTTGGTCGGGGTTCTATGTGGGAAGTTTGGCCAATTCTATCATTGGTCACATCATGAGGAGACAGGAAAGCCTAGAGAAGACAATTATGCTGGAGAAAGTGGAAGGCAAACGGAAGAGGGGCTGACCAAGGGCAAGATGGATGGATGGCATCCTTGAAGTGACTGGACTGACCTTGAAGGAGCTGGGGGTGGTGACGGCCGACAGGGAGCTCTGGCGTGGGCTGGTCCATGAGGTCACGAAGAGTCGGAGACGACTGAACGAATGAACAACAACAAGGGTTCAGAATGCTCTTTGATTGTAGGTGAACTATAAATCCCAGCAATTACAACTCCCAAATGTCAAGGTCTATTTCCCCCCAAACTCCCCAGTGTTTACATTTGGGCAAATTGAGAATTCATGTCAAGTTTGGTCCAGATCCATCATTGTTTGAGCCCATAGTGCTCTCTGGATGTAGGTGAACTAGATACCTAACTGACCGCCTCTCGGCCTATGAGCCCACGAGGACTTTGAGATCTTCCGGGGAGGCCCTGCTCTCGATCCCGCCTGCGTCACAGGCACGGCTGGCGGGGACGAGAGATAGGGCCTTCTCGGTGGTGGCTCCTCGGCTGTGGAACACCCTTCCCGTGGACATCAGGCTAGCCCCCTTCCTGTTGATATTCCGCAGGAAGTTAAAGACCTGGTTGTTTGAGAAGGCATTTGAATAGTAGTGCAATGACGGGTAACTCGACCATAGGAATGGAACAACGGAAATTGTATTGGATTGTGAACTTGACGATGAGACGACTCGGAATGGCTTGTAGTTATATTGATGTTTTTGATGAGATGTTTTGATAATCATGTACTGTGGATTATTTTTTGTATGTTGTATTTTGCACCTGTTTTTCTATGTTGTACACCGCAATGAGTCGCCATTAGGCTGAGAATTGCGGTATATAAGCGAAGAAATAAATAAATAAATAAATAAACCCCCAAACTCAAGGTCAATGCCCACCAAACCCTTCCAGGAGTTTCTGTTGGTCATGGATGTTCTGTGTGCCAAGTTTGATTCAATTCCATCATTGGAGTTCAGAATGCTCTTTGACTGTAGGTAAACTATAAATCCCAGCAACTACAACTCCCACAGGACAAAATCAATACCCTCCCCCAATCCCACCAGTATTCAAATTTGGGTGTATTGGGTATTTGTGCCAAATTTGGTCCAGTGAATAAAATACATCCTGAATCTCAGATATTTACATTGCTATTCATAACAGCAGCAAAATGACAATTATGAAGTAGCAATGAAACTAATTTTATGGTTGGGGGTCACCATAACATGGGGAAGCGTATTAAGGGGTCGTGGCATTAGGAAAGTTGAGAACCACTGGTATACAAAGACATCTATATAAATAAAATGTAATGTTCGTTTGTGGGATTAACAGAACTCAAAAAACCACTGGGCCAATTGACACCAAATTTGGACAGTATAGACCTAACAACCCAATGTATGTCCTTCACTCAAAATTGTTTGATTTTGTCATTTGAGAGTTGTAGTTGCTGGGATTTATAGTTTACCTACAATCAAAGAGCATTCTGAACCCCTCCATCGAAGCCGCATCGAATCCCTTGGGAGATGCTAGCGGGATACAAATAAAGTTTAATAAAGTTTAATAACGAAAGAATTGGGCCAAACCTCCCACACAAAACTTGGCACACAGTTCTCCCATGACCAACTTGGCACACAGTTCTGTGTGCCAAAACTTGGCACACAGTTCTCCCATGACCAACAGAAAATACTGGAAGGGTTTGGTGGGCAGTGTCCTTTGGTTTTGGAGTTGTAGTTCACCTACATCCAGAGATCACTGTGGACTCAAACAATGATGGATCTGGACCAAACTCTACACGAATACTCAATAAGCCCAAATGTGAACACTGGTGGAGTTTGGAGAAAATAGAATCTTGACATTTGGGAATTGTAGTTGCTGGGATTTATAGTTCACCTACAATCACAGAGCATTCTGAACCCCACCAACGAAAGACCTGGCTATTCCGATGTGCCTTTCCGGAGTAGGATAACCCCTAGCTCTAAGTCCTAAAAGCACTTTATTAGAGTTTAAGACGCTCTGCACATTGCACTTGCTCAGAAATCCAACATACCACCAGCCACACCCAGCACTTTTTAACCTGTACCCATCACTAGCCCGGCCCTGGTTTTTATTGTGTAATGTTTGTTATTGCTTATGTTTTTAATTTTTAATTTGCTCTGAATTGCATTGTTGTTGTTGTGTTGAGGCCTTGGCCTTTGTAAGCCGCATCGAATCCCTTGGGAGATGCTAGCGGGATACAAATAAAGTTTAATAAAGTTTAATAACGAAACAATTGGGCCAAACCTCCCACACAAAACCCCCATGTGGGCCACAGCAACGCATGGCAGGGAACGGCTAGTAGATAATATAATAACTTTATCTTTATACCCTGCCAGCCATCTCCCCTAGGGGACTCAGGGCGACTTACAAGGGACACGCCCAAGATTACAATTAAAACACACATGTAATACACTTTAACCAATTAAAACATCAGATAAAAACAAATAACAACACAATTAAAAGCAATATAAAAACAATACGGCTGAAAGAAACATAGCTGAGGTATATATTCAATGAGTGCTATACATTTTTACAGGAGCGCAGGAAAGTGCAACAATACAGTAAACTGTCATAACGCATATTGAGGTAGAACGTATGCCAGTGTAAAAAGTGCGGGCCGGTGTAAATTGCGGAACTTCAAGTAGGGACAAGAAAGTTACTGGTGAGCTGCTTAGTCAAAAGCGCACTGGAACATCCAGGTTTTTAGTTGACTACGAAAGGAGGACAAGGTGGGAGCCTTTCTGATCTCCCTAGGGAGGGAGTTCCAGGGCGGGTGGGGGGGGGGGCACCACCGAGCAGGCTCTTTCCTTTCCCATCAACCGTGCATGTGATGGTGGGGTAGAGAGAACAGTGCCTCTCAAGGTACGCACTGGTTCATAGGGGAAGATGCGATCGCGACCGTGTTGGGATACCGATATCCCAAGGAGATCTTCTAGCTAGCCTCTTAGACTAGAATCATAGAGTCGGAAGAGACCCCAAGGGCCATCTAGCCCAACCCCCTGCCATGCACAATCAAGTATCCCTGACAGATGGCCATCCAGCCTCTGTTTAAAAGTTTTGAAGGAAGGAGCTTCCATCACACTCCGAGGCAGCTCATAAAATCAGAAAGTTCTTCCTGATGCTCAGGTGGAATCTCCTTTCCTGTAATTT